TGAGGCACCTAGATATTTATTTATCCATTGTCCATCGAAAAAACTTAAACAATTGTAAACTTTACTTAGTGTAAATGTAAAAAAAATATTAGTGGTTGATCTCTGTTCTATTTATAAACAAGGACAGGAAACGTTTTTCCTTAATTTTCAGTATAGCATTTTGTATAACTGTGACTCAATTTGTCAGAATCAAAGTTTGCATCTAACGGGTGTATTCAGAACTAATCTAAAAACCGAAAATGTAACGTATATCTAAAAGATAAAACCGAATATTCCCGTCTGTCCAATACAAGGTTTCACAGGGTCAAGACAAATGGCAGTTACAGTGTTTTATTTTGTATTTGTATTACCGAATAAAAGTGATGGACTAAAAATATTAGATATTAGGATGTACCGGAGGATTTTGTTTCAATTTCATCATCATTTATACGTCCTACTGTTACGGGCACGGCTTTCCTCTCAGGCGAGGGTTTACGCCATAGTCCATCACGCTGGCCAATGCGGATTGAGGGACTTCACTCTTTTTCCGAGGGCTGTGAACCTTCTCCGACATGCAGGTATGTTTCGGTTTCATATACACAGTGGTGGGATACTGCCTCGTATATCGAGCTCTGAGGGTTTCAGATCGATATCCACCATGTTGTAATGTACTGGGACATTTATGGATCGAGAATGGGGCCCTGCCAACAGTTAAACGTAAGCAGTAAATGTTTATCACTAATTACAAGTTCCTTACCACGGAATGAGTTCTTTTGTTTTCCCGATATTACTCTATGGTCACGGATTAACTGGCCAGCGGTAGATGATAACTTTAAGAGCAGACATATCTGTCTACCCTCTTTCGCTGTCGACGACCGCCTTCATCTGGATCACTTGTAGCGTAACCATTGTCACTTACTTTTTTTCCGACAAACCACACTCACTGCGTACACTTAAAAAGCGAAATTGAAGTCGAAACATTTTTGTTTTTATAATAGATAGCTTCAATCCATTCACGGTTAAACATTTGGTACTTTGTGATCTCGATGGCTTCGTGAACCAAACGTGGTAGTTAGTAGTGACGTTCCGTCGACAGTACTTGATAGCTATGCCGCTCGATCCAGTGATTTAGCGTAGCGCGCGTAATATCTAAATGAGGTGGTGGGTTATTGTCATTTTGTGTAAGATGTTGTGCTATAGCTGTTAAACGTATGCAGTTTAAACAGTTAGTAATGCCATAGGTTTTACCCGTTTCACGTAGATTATCGGTTTCATGGGTTTTCACTTGTTCCCCTTATATACTAAATATCTGAATGTACTGCTGCTGCATTATATTAAGCACACCAGTATTTAATTTGCGAGTACCTACTATCGATAACCGCATGCAATTATGATGAGTGTCAGTGGTGCACTTTGTATGGCACCGCGGAAAATATTATGCTTTTATAGTAAAACAGGGCCATTGGTTTTTTAGAATGATATAAATATTTTTGTGATTACAAAATATACGTATAATTAACATTTTCGGTATTAATAATTTTTATTACAATTCGTTTAAAATAATTCTTTCAATATTAGATTCATAGTAATATTTACATTATATAATATTAGATATTAGATTAATAATACTAAATTTAATAGTTTTGTATCATTTATTTCTACCTGAAAAGCCTACGGTGAGGATAGATCGGTTACTTTTAGCTTTTAAAAGTTATTATGCAAATTCTGTATTTGTTCTAATATTAGATCATAGACGTTAATTAGTCATTGAACCAATAAAGTCTTGATACAGCCATGAAGTGAAAAGTCTGTATTTGAAGGTACTGCTAGCATTATTCATTCAGCGGCAGTAGAGCTCCTTGTGAAAGGGTTCGCCCAGGGAAGTATTTCACCTTACGTATTTCTGCCGCCAAGCAGTAATGTGAGCATTACTGCGTCCGGTTGAGAAGGGTAAGGGTGCTGCTCTGCAACTGTTATGGATAGGCGTATCGCTTACCACGAGGCGCACGACTTGTTCGTCCCGTCTGTCGGTATTATAAAAAAAAAATAATAGAAGGATCCGCCGAAGCCAAGAGCATGTGAATATCTTTCTTTGCCAGATTGCCGTGAACCGTAATTGCTGTGAGTTTTTCTCGAAGGGCTGAAACGATATCTTCCGTAGTCTTTATTTCGTGCTTCTAGGTTGCAGCATTCATTATGCTCCCTCCATGTAGCAGAATTTTATGCACTGTTTTATTGCATGCAGTATTAATCCTAATACCCTCAATAGAAATGATTAGTTTCAAAATTAAAACTCGTTGGTTTTTGAGGTTAGTTAGTTAATGTGTTCTCACAATCCAAGGCACAGATTACTTAACAGTTACTACTTAGCAGACACATCACTCTCATACAAAATCGAATATACATACGCTATAAAAGCGTACTAAATATTACTAATAATACCGTGCGCCATCTACGAGCAAAAAGGAACCTAAGCTTGCGCTCCTACAGGTGAAAGCAAGGTTGTCCGCCGTGTGCAAATGTTTGAAACACAATGAACTTGTTTGAACAAAACGGATTGAAAGCGCAAAGGCTGAGACTTTGAAATTACAATTATTTATTTAGTAAAGTGATGGGAGAACGGTTGCCTCTCAATTGGCGGTTGATGGTTTGATACCCGGTTGGACTAATTTTCGAAATGAACTTTACTAAATTTGCTCTCGTCTGGGTGTTTTGGGTTGTGCCCCCAAATGAAACTATTTACTCTAGTACTCATAGTACGGGAATTCTCTAGTTTGAGGTCATTGGCGTGTTTGTGTCGCACTTTGACCCAATAAGTTGTATTATTATTATTCTTGATGAATATTAAATTAGATTATTCTATTTAACGTATCACGGCTATAAATAAATAGCGCACACACTCAACATAGCCCCGCACTAGGGAAACCCTGTGTCGCGGGTGCCATGGACACTCACATAGACAACCACAAATTACACCCAAACTCACGAGAGAAATAATTGTAGGCCATACAACTATTTTTCCCGGCCCGGCAAACGAACCTGAGACCTCTGCGTGGCAGTCCGGCATGGTATCCGTTCGGCTACGGAGGCAGTAAAAAATCCATGAACAAAAAAGTCCTTACCTAGGTTAGGTACCGATAATAAAAAGTGGGTAGGTACAATGAAAACAAAGTAGGATGATAGAACACAGAAAGAAATGATTCAAAAGCCGTTTGCTTGAAATTCGCTTACATAAAATAATTGAAAATAAATATGTATTTTTTTACATTAGGCATGATTCTAAATATGTATTTATTTACTTTTAAACGCTAATGCGTTCTCGACATTGCAACGGTTTTTTTACGCAACATGCCGTACAACCATTCAGATGTGAGTGCGACACTCTATGAGCGCTTGCGCCGACGTCCGTCGGCGCACTCAGCGGTAGGCACTTATCGCGTAAGCTTAAGCGAGTGACGGAGCCTTGTCCAAGGTGGCAGTTGGTTGCAGCTAAAATTTATAAAACCTAATCAAGACAGACTAATAAATCGATTATGTTATATAAGTAAATAGTGGTCGACAGTGATAAAAAGAAGAATAGTTTTAAATTCATAAAAAAATGTCGTAAATTAGGCATTCTTACAAACGTAAATGAGAAATATTAAAAAGATAAAATTCTTTCACTATTATGTGTACCAACAAGATTACATCTCTAGGCATTATAAAAACAAACACAAATAACGTAAATTTCTATTCAATTTAATTTAAAATCAACTTTGAAAATACAGTATACAGTTTTAGCGCGAAAATGGTTATTTCTGCATCAGATATGTTTAGGATCATATTTTTACGTAGTGTACAATTATTGGCAATTTGTTTTTATAGTTTTTGTACTTATGGAGTGTATAGTATGTATAATGCAAAATTTGTTTAGATGTGTTAATAAAAAATACTTTTTTTTCGTCAATGTGTGATGATGATAAATTGACGAAAAAAAATTTATTGAAGTGGAACAATACTAAACTACTGTATACAGTAGTTTAGTATTGTTCCACTTAGTATTATAGGACTCTATAACCTATCTGTACCTTTTACACAAAAATTTAGGAAGGTATTGTTACTCAATTCTAGTTCCTCACTCTAAAATGCATGTAATAATCAATATATTTATTTTACGATTAATTTCGCAACTTGCCGGTAAAACGCCTCTAGAGTTACGTTACTAGAAACAAAATTGCTTTTTTTGTATCGAGCTTGCAAATGGAATAGCAAACAGTAACAAACCGTTGTAGGAACGGACTGTAACAAAATGAAAAACTAAAATGGAAATAGTGTCTTCTACAAACAAACCTCCAATTTATATGACTTTTGATTTGATTTGATTACAAACATAAAGAAACGATTGAATGGAAACTTAAACGAACTGAACTTAAATATTTTTTTCTAAAGAATGCATTTTTAATTCGTGTTAATGTTGGTTTCGTAGTGGAAAAGTCGGTTATTTTTACCATAACAAAATGGTAACACATTAAAATCTATATAAGATCCATTTAGATTTTTTGAAATTCAAATCATTTATTCACCATTTTTGAGTTACAACAGTGTTTGGTTTCACGTGCGAAAAATTCAACTGCACAATTTTACACTATGATAAAATAAAATATAAGAAAAGTAGATATTTGCCAGAGCAAATGTGCAGAACTGTATAAAAAAAACAAATAAGAATAAAACAAACAAAGGTAGGCAATCGACATTTTGTGTAGTAATAATAAAGATAATTTTATTTATTCAAATAAAGATTTGACAAATATTCATTAATTGTCAGACAAATAAGACGTTAAGTAAGTTTCAAAACAAAACGGTCTTTAATATGGATCCGACGAAAAAAATATCGAAATGTATTTCATGTCGAACTGTAAAACAACTCACGCAGCCGTTATGCAATCTTTGAACAAAATCTTGCCTTTGATGAAGTATCGAGAATTGCAGGTCTCCATGGACGAACTTTGAAAGAAGTTTCCACTTGAATAAATCGGTATGTCGGACGCTTTGCAGTTTTATTCGCGTACAGTGTTGAAGACTTGCAAAGTTTTGCTGTAGAGTAACAATATTATGAAATTCTATCTCAATGGTTTAGTGCATAAATGTATGGTAGTTTTCTGAATATTTGTTTATAAGCATTAATCTTATTAACTAGGGATATTTCCTTTTTTTATTAATAAAAATGAAGTCAAAATTATAATTAGCATTGACACTACACTGACATTAGAAATGTAGTAACCACTTAGAGAGGATGGAAAAAAAGTCCAAGAGTTACCAGCGGCTCAAAGTGAATGATCGTCGTCAGATCATGTACTCTGTGGTCAGATCAGTAAACAGGTGCGCTCCGCTAAAGATAGACGCCCACCTTAATTAGCCTTTTTTAACAAAAATCCTACGAGGTCCAGCCTAATGTGCTAGGCTTTACTTTAATAGCAGTTTTTCTTCAACCCCTGATGAAAAATGGATAAAAGTTGAGTCGAAAAATAAACCTGAAAAGATACGGCCTTTTTTTGGTATGTTCAGCTCAACACTCCTATTTCAATTTTATTTTTTTGTTGTTCTCTTTATTTGTTATATTATTTTTTTAGTTGAACTAGACTCTGCTTTGCTGTGGTTTATTTGGTTGTGAGCAAGCACATCGTATTTGTGGAGCATAATTTTCGCCTTATTAAATAGTTTGTGAGTGGTATTTACTACTGTAAACTTCAAGTATTATTTTATTTACAACAGAATTCCATTAAAAAAGGTAAAATAAACTCATTCGCAAATTGTTTTTGCGAAATAATTTAATTCGGAATATGTGAGGATTGCAATCAACACAAATGTTGTCGTACAGACCTAGCTTCCATCGCTGCAAGCTATTTGAATATTTGCAGTGAATAAATATTTGCCTTTCTCTAGAATGTGTTTAGTCGTGCGTAAGAGGAAATTCAAATAAAAGTTAAAGTTACATTGTTTATTCTAACTTCAACTTTTACCTACATTATAAATTCAATGAGCTGTTAGGTTGCCGTAACTTTTCATTGCTTATTTTTAGTATTCTTAATTCCTCAAGACATTCTACACCTATCGTATGTACACTTATTGCTTACTCATATTTATCAAAATAATGTCAATAATCTGTTACACAATTCCTTGGAATGGAACATTTGAAACATTCCGTAATTGTTTAATTTAAAAAAGTTGTTATTGTATTTTAATTTAATGTAATTATATTTATCAACTGATTTTTCATTTGTAACATTTAATTTAAAATTTTTTTATTATTATAATTTGTTAGCAATCATAATACGTTATTATTTTTATTTTTACAAAATATGTTTTACCAGTGTTATAGTCCTTCTTGTAATTAATAAATACGGGCTAAACATTGCCTAAAACAAATGATGAGTTTGTTATTACTATATATATATTACGATTACTTATAACAAAACGAAAGGGAATTAAAGCTCAAGTGCAAACCGGCAACTATCGAGGAAATAGGAGGAAAGTTTTAAAATATCTCTAAAATTTATTTTTCATAATGCTTTGAAACGTTTCTATTTTGTTTATCCGTTGATGTAATCTTACCGGACTTCCTTTAATAGCCTTTTGGTTCCTTTACAAGTATAACTAAGCACGTACTTATTTGAAATATGCTTCATTCTTATATAAAGGCTTTGTAAATTGGCATAAAATTTTGTTTAATTAACTCTAATAACTTTCTCTAATAAGGTTCTCAACTTGAATTCTTAAGAACAGGGTACACAAAAAAAGGAATGTAAAACTGAATTTGTATCAGGATATCGTTTTAACACAATCCACGTCCACATGTACACTTTCCATCAGGAGAGACTGTGAGCAAAAGTAAGCCTATGTGAAATAAAAAATAATTACTTTAACTATTAATTAATTAATACACGTAAAGATTTTTTGGAGATAAATCTCTCCTAGTACTTTCGTAATGTATCTTATATTTTAAACACGTGACGGTCACTAAATTGAGGCGATCAGAGCAAAAGTTTTGTAACCCACATTATTTATTTTTCTACAATATTACCAAATTATACTAAAGTACTAATTTTTTATTGTATTTCTTCCTGCAGACCTAATAACTACAATAACGGGCTTACGTGCACAAAAAACAGAATTATGTAAAACAATATTAATAACATTAAACTATTATAAAATAGATAAACATTTAAAAAAATACATATTTCATAAATAATACCTATAAAATCGAACACCAGATAAATAATGCTCCTTAACTCTCAATTCAAAAGTAGCTAACGAAGTACTTTCGTGAACAGAAATAGGAAGTGAGAAGAAGTTTCAAAGTCTGACCGAATGAACAGTGAAAGAGTGAGAATAAAAACCGGAATTGAATGAACCTAACGAGAGAGCGAAAGGGTTGGTCCTGAGACCTGAGAAATCTAAAACAATTTTTTTAGATAATCTAAGCTACTGTAATATTATTTGTTCTATGACGTTCGCCAAACACGTTTAATATTTCGTTGAATTTACTTCTCATTCAGAGTTCATCTGCGTATTTGAAGAATAATATTAGCTTTTCTTTCCTCTGCTTTCTGTTTTGAATGTGACTCACGAGAAAAGAAAAGTCGCTAGGTGAACATAGACGAACCACAGGTAGAAATAATTGCTCATAGGTGTACCACGGGAATAAATAATTGACCTTATCCAACGAGGTGAACCTGTCAGGTGGTCCACGGGCAAGAAGTTTAACTATTTAACCTGGTTTTTTGTTACCTCTAATGTAAATTGTAGCCAGTGGAATACTGATCCATTCCTTTTCAATTGCAAATTTGTTGCATGCAACTACCGAACTGGCTGTTTTAATGCCGTACAAGGCAACTAAAGAGATTTTTTTTGAATATACACTTGATATTACTTAATTATTAAAAATTTGGTATAAACCCGGGGTTTGTCTGAAGAATGATAATGCTATCTGATTTTGCTGAAATACAAATTTGACTTATACTCATTTAATCCATGGATATGCTCTGAAAAATGTGGAGGACTTACTCTCAGTACAGAGTACTAAAAAAACCGACCTCAAAAGTACGTGGAATAACATATAATTACCAAATTTATTGATATCGGTTACTTATTGAAAACTTACCGGAAAGTGCGCAAACCCTGATTCATCCCCTAGTCCGACACTATACGGGCAAGTTCCGTCTGTCGACTGTGTCAAGACACAGGAGATAATAAAAATCGGTTCTCACTACTCAATGTATATTGAGAGAAAACGCCTTGAATTGGAGAATAGCAAAATCAACCTTTAAAATAATTGCTCGTTATAATAAAATTTAGGCGCTATTTATAAAAATGAATCTTCATGCGTGAACAGCCACCCTCAGAGGTGGATGATTTTCTTCAAAATTAAATGGGACCTCTATGAAGGTACCCTCTTTCCAACAAAAAAGAATCATAAAAAACGGTTCACAAATAGCGGAGTTATCGCGTAACATACATACAAAAAAACGTACAGTTGAATTAAGAACGTCTTCCTTTTTTTGACGTCGGTTAATTAAAGAAAGAAAATCGGGCAGAAATTCAGCTTATTATGTACAAAAATTAGACGCGTCGAATATGTTGAAAATCCGTACGCCTAGGATAATAATAGGTTATAAGATAAGCCTTGAAAGCCTGGTAAGATTATCTAAATAGCAGAAGAATAGTTAGAGGGCAGGTTCATGTCGAATCAGGAACGAGTTATGAGAATTCATACTACATGCACAATATTTCTTAGAAAAAGACCCTATCACTTGATTTGATCGGAAGAAGCAACTCTAGATGTACTTTGTGGTTAATTAAAATTTTCTTTCTAACGCCGATAAATAAGTGTAAAGAAAACAGCGAAAACTTTAACTTCACAAATGTATGAAGCTAAAGAGCTAACCATGTAATGAAATGGTTCGCTGCATACACCCCCCATCTCCACTCCTGCATTGCGCATCAAGTGTTCGCCAATAAAACCAGTTTGATATTAGGGAATCAATAAAGCGTGATAATAAACTACTGCAGTAGCATCAAAGCAGGTCTGACACGAACTATAAAGCTGTGGAACCTTAAGTGCTTCTTAGTAAAGCTAAGAGCTCTGAAGCCAAAGCCCATCTAAAACCAAAGGCTTAGTGAAGACACCGGCAGTCGTCTAAACAGGCAGATTATCCGACAGGCGATAATTAGGAATTCCAAACGGTTTCTCTATTAATGGCCCAATCTTTATAAAGTGCTCCGGAGAAAACAGCAATACTAAGAAATATACACAGTGTTACAGTGCAAAATTCCTGACCAGCATCGCAGTTTTTACGGTAAACAATATAACATTTTAATAATTATTATTAATAATAACAACGCACACTCTCAACATAGCCCTGCACTAGGGAAACCCTGTGTTGCAGGTGCCATGGACACACACATAGACAACCACAACTTACACCCAAATTCACGAGAGAAATAAATGTAAGCCATCCAAATATTTCTCCCGGCCCGGGGATCCGACCTGGGACCTCTGCGTGTCAGTCCGGCTTGGTAACCGTTCGGCCATGGAGGCAGTTAAATAATAATAATAAATAGTCTAAAACAATTATAAAATAAATAAATACAATTTCACACAAAAACCAACACAAATCGTGAACGCTTGTAAGCTGCGCATTTAATTATTTTAATCCGGGAAATCTCCTCGTGCAGTATGTTTTAAAAATGAAAATGGATTCCACCTAAAATTTGATTTCAATATTGGATTTGTTGGCCCATGCGTGTATTTAGTATTTCGACGAACGAACAAAGTAAATTCAAAGCCACAAACGCTTCAATTTTTTGCTGGTTTTTAAAAGAATTGTTGTGGTAGCGTGAAATTGAGGTAAGACCGATCATCCGATTAGTCGGCTCGTGTGTATCGACACCGCCGCCGTTCAGCAAATGAACAAAACAACCCAACGACATCAGCGCTCGCTTTATTGCGATCTTGTTTGTCTCTGAAATGTTATGGTATCGTAAAATTCGGTATCTAATCTGCTACGCGGTACAGTTACAGACAGAAGTAAGACATCGGTGCAGTCAAACTTTATTTACGTATTTTATTGTACTACTTCTAGTATCAAGAGCAGAATTGTTTATTAAAATATCAGAAGGTTATTATTTGATTTGTGAATGTGAGTAATACTAACGTTTAATCAATAGATCACTAACCGCTGCGATCAATATATTTAACTCTTTGTCGCCAAGTGCTCGTATAGTTATTTTCAAAGGTAATGAAACCCTACCGGCTTGCCAAGCATTGCAATGCGATTATGGCAAATTTTAAAAACAAACATGCAAAGATTCTAAGTATCTTGTAAGCGTTGTAGGACAAACAAGACTTATATAGTAGATAAAACTATTATTTCCTAAAATCAATTTATATTAACATTCAATGCGTACCTACTAAAATTTAGGCTATATTAAATATATGAAATTGGGTACCTGCAGCACCTTTCGAAGTTGAAACCCATCTGTGGAGATACACTGCTCTTTCTTTGTATGAAATGACATCTAAAAAAGTAATAAATCGACTAGGAGAACCAAGGGCAGGCAGCTATATATATTAGCATAGTCGTACAAAGGAGTTCTGTTAGCATTTTGTTGCGGGCACCGGCTTTCCGGACAGGATGTGCAATGCCTTATCAGAGATAGATTTATATGGATTATATTATTGTTATTATATATGTATTAGTATTATAGGGATTCATTATCTAAAAATCAGACAAGAAAATTAAGTTTAAATTTAGATTTAGATGGCGAGGATCGCCGTGCTCGCACGGCCCACGGTAGAACGTAGTTTGTTTTCTCAGTACACTGAAGTTAAACCGCTGTAAACTTGACGTGGTGTAATTCAACTTTGTTCAGCAAAGTGTGTGTGTGTGTTGATTGAGTTAAACACATTTGTGACGTCGATGAGAGCAGCACCTTGTCGTTTAAGTAGTTATAAAGGAAGGTACAGAGAGCGTTAACTGCTATCTCGCACCCGCCCTTCTATTGCTGAAGGGTTTAGCAATTTGACGCACGCGTGGTTTCTGATGTAAGGCAAGTATAAAGTGCTGCCTACGGAAATTGGCGGGGCACTGCGTTCCTTTTTCGTTCGATGTGCACCGTCGAGAACGGAGTGGACATTGCCCGGCACCATTAGATTTTCTACACTGAAGTTTTCTCTCTACCTTTTACTAGTTTTGTCGAGGGAAGGTAACGTCTATCAAGATATTGAGGTGATTCATCTCAACCGGATGTTAATCCCTTACAACAACAACAACTTTTTGTTGGATTCAAGAAGTAAGGCGCTATAGGAGCCTTTTCAGGTGAGATAATGCAGTGAAAAAAAAAACCGTGTGACAGCCTTTGAGACCGACAGGCGTTGCTAATTAAATTCTTCATCTTTCTAGAAAGGGTAGGTTCCGGGGTTCATGAGCCGTTAAAGGGGTACAGAGGGAGGATATAATTTTTTAATTTTTGCTGGATATTGAATGTGGCCTATAGGCATTATTTTGAATAATTTATTAGATTTTAAGGCTTTCGTGGTTATTCACTAAATGATTATCAGTAATAACAGGTTTCTAACCACGATATTTCACGATTTCTTTTTATTTTCCCGATATTTCAGAACGGTTACACGTTCCACGGTCGCGGGTTGACTCAAATTATATATAGTTTAAGCTGATTAGTAAAAATTGGTCGGCGTGTTAATATATTTTTTTTAAATATAATATATTCACTTCCTTTTTCTGTATTGTATATGTGCAATAAGGTACGGATTAAAATCGATAAATAAGTCAATAAACCAAAATGAAAATGTTATGGCCGGAAAGAGTTGGTTGAATTGTTTCTGCTCTAGTATTACTTCGTTTTATTATTTTAGTACAAAAAAAAATGTTTAGTTGTAATAAACGCGTTTGCTAAGGCGAATAACACACAAATCAAGCAAAGCCGAGCAGCGAGACGGGGCGTGTTTCCGCGGAGTAGTCTTTGCCGCAACGTGCGTAAACAGAAATATTCATAGAAAGAAAGAAGGCTGCGCAGGTTTCTGTGACGTTAACCATGTATTATACGCCTAGCAAAGTAGGTCGGTGCTGATTCTATACAATCATGTGTTAATAATATTTAAGCGTTATACGCTGCTATAATGATTACTTATTACCATTTAGAAATATTTTGAATGTGTCAGTATTGTGGATCATCGTGAAAATATAATATATAAATCACAATTTGCTACAAACACGTAGCAAATTAGACAAATAATCAATGAATGCATTGAGAACAGATGAAATCAGACGCTATAATAAAATTTTCACATAATATTCGGCTGTAATAGTTCGGGAGCTGGGAATGGCGGCCGGTTAGCGTGCCAAAAGCGCCACAGACAATGGCAAAAACAAACCAGGGAGGGGACGCCGCATTGCACCAGTTGAATCTCGACCCCTCGTTTAAGGGGAACTATGATTTTGTATTCAATAGAGGACATTCACTTTTATATTATTTGACTAGCCTGAATTGTTCGTAGAGTTTATTAAACTTTATTTTTATTTATGTTTAATCCAGGTGGCTAATGAACTATTCTTAAACGAGTGTATCCATACCTAACTGTACTCTAGTATATCAATGTACTTACGTCATACGAGTTACTATTGAGAAAATAATAATAATATGATTAACTTACAAAATTGCAGCTACATTAACTCTTTGTGCATTACATCACATTTTCAATAATAATTCTGGATTTCCATAAAAGATTTTCAAAATTGTCTCCTAATACATGCTTCAAAATAGTCTCCTAAAACATATATAGCATGGTTGCCGTAGTGAGGCACTGAGGGCGCCCCTCCCTCCCCCGCAGTGGAGAGTACTTGTTGACGCTCGCTCATATAGGGCTCGGGTGTAGGATGCGCACCCGATTGATTTTCAACCCCCACACGGTTCATTTTCTACTTTCTTGAAGAGAAATACCTAGCTAAAACAAAATTTTCAATTTGTAAAATTGTCTGGTCATTTAGGCTAGAATCAAGTTCAGCTAGTTTCGCAATATATGTATTCTCTAAATTGGTGTACACGTTTTCGAGCGCTTATTTATTGAATCATTCAATATTATATTACAAACCCGCACCGTTTGTTTATAAGTAAACGATACACTGAAGTGTCTGGAGCTTGTATAATGTATATTTTGATGATATTTTGTTACTACGGTATCATATATCAATGTAGTGTGAAAAGTCAGGGTAACTACGACTACATCATTCTGTAATAGCGACGATATAGTTCACTAAGTATTGTATTGCAAGGATTACGTGGCCTCGTATCGTTAATATCCTCTTTACTAACTGTGGTGATAATATTTTGAACCATTTTCACAGTGCTTAAAATAATAACAACATACACAATATTGCTGTACACTAATTATAATGTAATAAACCAAGGGCAGCATTTTTTAAAATGTTTTTTACATTCTTTTGTAACGTGTTTACTATTCTACCATTATTTTTCTGCCGTTGCTTCATAATTGCGTAACTTGTTTAATAAAGATAATATCTTTGTCAGATCTTTTTGAGCCGTGTCACTTCACTGTCAATTCACTACATCTACGCATTTTAAATTTTCAGTATGAAGACAAGTTACATTTTAACCATGTTTATTTAAAAAAAAACTAATCTTATCTCAATTGGTGTAAGATAAGAGTCAATACTAGATGACTAGTAAAGCTGACATGAGTCTGCTTATATAATTGCAGATATTGTACATTGAAGTAGATACCGCACAGAAGTTCTTCTCGTTCGATAATTAGTTATAACTATACCTTGGTACGTATACGATATGAGAACGGCACATCGGCTGTGCGGGAGAGAGCAGCTGAGTCGGCAAAACACGAAAATGAACTCAGAACAATTTGGCTTAAATTGCAGTTTATGAACGCTACAAATGAGTTACCATTGTTTCATTTCTTTCTTAAGCGATAATACGATTATATTACACAATACATACACTTTAAATCTATGTAGGTATCCATATTTCGAGTAGGTGCAGTTCATATAATCGTTTCAATTCAACAATAATTAGAGAATATCAAATTACACTTCAATTAAATAATTGGTGTTATTGACGGTGTATCGCAAAGTAACTTTAAGGAGGTTGCTTAATTATGGAGTTGAGGTTTTGAGTTTTTGTTTTAAATTTTTGCAATATGAAAAAGAAACTTAGATTTAAAAGTTGCCTTCCTCTATATAATTGGTACAATCCGATGAGTTTGCTAATGTTGAGCTATCTACTCTGCAATCCTTGAAGATCACCAGGCTGTGTTTGGTGCTACGTGTTTTCGGTTATTCTGTATGGCATAGAGTCCTGGATCTTAACTCAAAATATGAGCTTATAAGCATTCTAAATGCATTTTAAAATAAATAGAAGAATGTTGAAAATATCATGGACGAATAGAGTGTGAAATGAAAGAGTGTTGCAGATGGTGAAAAAGAAATTAAACTCTTGAGTACTGCCAAAAAATGCAAGCTACAATACTTTGGTCTTTAATGCGTAATGATGCTCCCACTAATTATGCAAGGAAAAATCCAAGGAAAACGACCACCTGGAAGAAGGCGTACTTTGTGGCTTAAGAATCTCCGGACATGGTTCACCTGAGCACAAGATCGTTGTTCCGTGCAGCTGTCTCTAAAATACAGATAGCCCTAATGATAACCGACCTCCGACCAGAAGTAACCTGCAGAAGTGTGGGAGCGGCTGGGTTGCCAGAACAGACAATAGACTCAGAGAGCCGTGTGACTAAAAATTACAGCGTCCATTTTGCTACTGTGTACTTTTATACGTTTCAGAATTTCTACTTTTTTATGATAACCAAGGTCACTTGGTTGGGTTGAACAAGTCGTGCGCCTGGTGGAAAGCGACACGCCTCCCCACTACAGTTGCAGCGCCACTCAGAACTTCAAATCGCCAAGATCTGAGGCGCACTCCCACTGCACCCATCACCCTGAGACATGAGTTGACAAGTTCCATGTGCCTGTGCAAGAAAGAAGCACATACACAATGTGGGCGTAACACATATACAATTAAACAGACATAACATTTGTTTTAATTAAAATGTAATCAAAAATACTCTCTTATATGGATTTAAAATACAATATACCAACTACTCCAATGAGACTACACAAACAACTACAATAAACACAGAACAATAGAAACTGACATAAATTAAAAATTTCCGCAACTGCTTTTTCCCCACTCAATGGCAATTCAAATTTATAATAGCATACCAAAGGAAATAAAAATCCTAGAAAAATTATCGACATTTATTGCGCATCTAAAAAAGTACCTGATCAATAACGCATTTAATAAGTTAGACGAAATTTTTTAATAAAAGATAAGTGCCATTTTCCTAGTCCTTATATAGATTAGCTCTTACATAATAAATAAATGTTATTTAATTTTGTATTATGAGAAAATAGGAATAATTATTAGTCATTTGTAGTGATATTTATATTTGTAATTAATAATTAGTAGTGCTCTCCAGATTTTGCGGCGCCCTTACAGGGTGTCACATGTGTGACTAATATTATTATATGTATTATATTTTTATAACATCGTTGTGAAACCATGTGGTAAGCAATAAAGATATGAATATGAAAATACAATCATTATCACTAACCGCACACCGCAAAAATATTTAATATTGGTAACATTGCAAAATACATCACTACTGACATTATTACCCATAACAAAATAATAATATAGCTAGTATTTGAAGTGCGAATATAAAATAAGTATTTTCTTTTAATTTCAATTACAAGTTTATTGTGTATGGAAAAATATATACATAATATTTTATCCAAAAATGTAGGAAAAAGTAACGTGTGTAGCTTGCTTACACTATAACTCCAATCATTCTCTACCAAGAAAAAGGAATACATCTTTACGAGTAAAGGGGCGACAAAATATCTATTTTTTATCTCTGACGCAAAAAGTGGGGACTTTATAAGTTTGAAGCCGTGGTTTGTGTGCGTCTGTCTTTCTGTTGTCTGAATGTGGCGCCGTAGCTCCCAAACGGATGGACTGATCTCAAAGCGTTTTTAATGGCTTTAATAATGGCCGAACGGTTACCATGCTGCCATGCAGAGACTTAAATGTATTTCTCTCTTGAATTTGAGTGTAATTTGTGGTTGCCTGTGGCACCCGGGATATAGGTTTCCCTAGAGCGGAACAATGAGTGTGTGCAAAAAAATCGGGATGGTTCTTAGCCAAGTTTCTGAACATGTTTTTTTATGATATCAAGCGATGGAATGTTCAAGTCGTGCGCCTGGTCGTAAGCGACACGTCTACCTATAACAGTTACAGCGCCACTAAGAACTTTAAATCGCAAAGATCTGAGAAGCACTGCCAATGCGAGCTGACAAGATCCATATGCCTGTAATTACCCTTCAAAACCGGAACACACAGAAATAGGTAAGGTGGCAGTACTTCACTCACGAACTTTTTCACAAGAAGCTCTACTGCTACTGAATTTTAGGGGTATATTATATGATATTATTACTCGATGTAACTTAATTAAGTATTAATTTTCAGCCTCTATGCTAAATGCTTTATTTTATTTATCTTTGTAATATTGTAATTTGTAATATTGTTTATTGAATATCAATATTTATCTTTATTCATTTCTTAATTGAGTTATCTTTGAAGAAAAAGAAAACCTAAAATCTTCTAAGAATGTAGCTTGTAAATGTTTAAAATTAATATACGTTATTGATACGTATATTAATTTTAAGCATTACGTATGAAACATATTATATTTCTCTCAGCATGATATAAAAGAAATGATTTAGTTACTAGTTTAAATTTGCTTATTTTTCACTTTTCTTGACATGACATTTAAATTTCCTTGACACATTTGCCTTCGCAAATGACGGAAAATCGTAGGTGATTAATACACCACGATATTATATACCTACGTATTAGAAACAATACTTTTTATAAAAATGAAAGAAATTTCAATAAAATAACACCTTTTTCAACAGCAAAACAAGACCTTAAGAAATCCAACGAAAGTTTTACTTATTCTCATAACAATCGCTTGTATTAAAAAAAGAGTGTTAAGAAGTCGTGGAATAATAAATTCCGTGCTTTGAGGTTTCGGATTCTTAAAAAATTTTACTGTTTTACAAGGTACTCGTATGAACAATTTGAATTTTAAAATTTTTTTTATTCACTTAAATCAGACAACATGTCCCATATAACATGTACTTTAAGGACTAATATATATATAATATACTGGGACTAATATACGTATGAATTGCCTCCGTGGCCGTACGGTTACCTTGCTGGTCTGCCATTCATAGGTCCCGGGTTCGATTCCGGGTCGGGAGAAATATTTGTATGGCTTACATTTATTTCTCACGTGAGTGTGGGTGTAAGTTATGGCTGTCTATGTGTGTGTCCATGACACCCGCGGCACAAAGATTCTCTAGTGTGGGTTTATGAGTGTGTGCGTTACTTATTTGCATTATTTTATATAAAAACTAAACTACTAAACTACCCGAACAGCATTTATCGGCGTCGTGTGGCATAATTTGGTGTCAGATAACCTGTCTCGGAATCGCCAATACATAAAACTTGTCATATTTGGCTTTCAGTCTTATATACTCTACTATATCCTCAGATTTCGTGGAGTAATGCAGCTGCGACAGGTACAGCAGCGTCGTCGGTATGGCCGCACGCAGCAGAAAGTTCGGTCCAGTCGGTGCTGTGCCACACAGGTTAAGGGCTAGCGTCGGCGTCCTCTCCACTTTTGTGAAGACGTCACCGTCGTACCGGTTCGTCTGCCTCTGTGATTTTGCAACTTTAGAGACAGGTACTTAATGGTCGAAAAAAAAAACAATAAACGCTAATGAAAAATAAAACGCTATTGAAAAAGTTCACGTAGATGCATACTTGATTAAAACAAAGCCGCTTCGCACATATTCACTTAAAAAAGTCGTAGATTCCTGTATATGTCGATCAAATTCTTTTGTAGTCGAAGGAAGTAGAAGAAGTGAATTGCTTATGCAAATAGCGCGAATCGGGTGCCCCTTATTATTGTTCCCAAGATTTAAAAAAATGTCCTACACATTTGTAACATTTTTATACTAACTGATCGGCAATCTTCAAATAAGCTGACAGAAATGTTTTCCACTCTCGAAGTTAATTAAGTTTCCGTGTCATAAATCTTCTTGTTTGTGTATAGACAATATCGCTTTTTATTTTTTTGAAATAACAATCATGCCGTAAAAGCATATAAAGCAAAGCTAGGCGCAGTAAACCGTCGTATCTTCTAAAAATCTAAATTGAAGTGTTTGCCGCTGTGTGGATTACATAAACGCGGTAAAGCTGGTTATGTCGAAAAAAGGGCGGCGTTCGGCAAACGTCGGTTAAAAGAGTAGATGAAAGTGGCGGTCGGCGGCAGTGTCGGCGTATGGTGTCAGCGAAACCTGATAAATTGCTTGGAGCCGTCCATTATGGCTCTGCGATGTAATCGACGCGAACTATGTACTGTTGCTAGGCACCCCGCCATATGTACAGTTTAATATGTAGATTAACAAGTATCTATATTTATATGTATAGTTATATTAATGATGTGAAAGTTCATACATAAGCTCTGTATTTACGATAATATTATTTCGTATTTAATTCATATAACAAGGCATCTTTAGAACCTTGTTCGGAAAAAGCTGTTATAATTCATATAACTTTTTATTTAAAAGTTACAAACTAACCAACCTACATAGTTCTGGTTATCTCTACATAATAAATCTGTTTCTTATACATGCAATGGATACGGACACATTTCTACATATGTAGACATGTTCGGTTTTATAAAGCACGTGGCGGTGTGGAGTCAGGTGCACTACCATACGTACGCTACATATACTACTACTATTACTATACTACTATAGAAAACCTTGATTAAAACTACCGATTATGATCTAATAATCTTCATTTTGTATTTTTATACAATGAGACTTGTTTATAAATATATTATTATAGTAAGAGCGATATAAGAATTACATAAATAAATAAAAGTCTAAGCTTATTTGTTGAAGTTAATATCGTCTCAATACTTTTTAACAATAAAAATTTAAACAACGAAGTACTCTATGGAAAATTACTGCAAACAATTTATATAATAAATCGGTATCTCTATGTACCTCAACAGTCTGCTATAAGAACTTTGATTTAAAACAAAAAGTTGTTGTAATACTTGTGCAAACAAACGTTTTCAGAATATTAATTTCTCAGAATATTTCCTTTATGACTTCAATTGATTGGAAAACGTTGGACCATATTAATAAATATAAGTTAAGACTTAATAGTTTTGAAACTATTTTCAAGTGAAGGCGAGCAAGACATTCAGCTTGATTGCATTCCGAAATTGAAAGACTTCTTCTTTGTACCTACGAATATTGTATATTGAACCGAGAGAGTTTCGATTACGCTAATTAGCAACTTGTCCTGTCCTGTACTTTCTGGTTACTAATTAGGATCACATAACTGGTTCGTATTTTCCAGGAGACGGCTCTCTGCGTAAACAATTACCGAACGTGATTTATAAAACGTGAGTAAGAAACTCATTGTTCTCAGGGGAATTTGCTTTACATACGAGTGTGGGCAGTATTTAATCAATGTGACGATGTCAACTGTAATTCGTTTACTTATGAAATTAAGATATTTTCGAATTGATTCAGAGATACTTTAAAAATTTGGTTCGAGGCCATTGACTTACAATTATATGGACGTCGGGTCCGCGCTAAAAAGTGTCCGCACTTGTAAGGCGCTAAAATCGTATACAGAGCGCGACACTCCGCTTTAGTCTTCATTTGTTCTACGGACAGCGCGATACTGCGATGACACAACAATTTAAATTTCGAATAGGTTGACTTGGGACATTTTTTTCGTGGTTTTTGTATTAGACCCGTCGTCCATTTATTTGTAAGTCAATGTTCGCGGCGTATAAAAGTTTTATAGAGCTCCGAGTGTACCTTACCTATTTATGCCGCCAAGCAGTAATGTGAGCTTTACTGCATTTCGGTTTTGAAGGGTACGGGTGTTGTTGAAATTTAGGCACATAGGACTTGTCAACTTATGTCTCAGGGTGACGAGCTCAAAAGGCAGTGCCCCTCAGATCGTCCGTCTCTTGGTATCATAAAAAAAGTCTCTCATAAGCCCTGATTGTCTAAATATTGGGGCTATGGTTTAGTCTCCACACTTTACGTAGCCTGTACAATATATTGATTCTTAAAAACAAAAATATGAGATTTCGATCCGAAAAAATAGTTATGATATAGAGAAATATTTTATTTTTTAAACTTTGTTGTACTGGCTTGGTCGCAGAAGCATTGTTCAGAGTGTCAAGCCACTATAATCTAACACGTGGTATAAATAACTACATTAGCACATTTACATTATTGAAAACTTCTTGCAATCACATGCTCTTTGGTATTTTTAAATGCGAGTGTAGAGGAATACAATTTACAAAGGTGATGTCAAGTTAGCGTATACAAACCTTTTAATATTCAAACAGTGTCCGGAGCGTAGTCGGTGAGGCATTAATTTTCCAGTGTCCCATTTGGGGGTGAACTGTTCACCCCACCACGTCCCCCCGTCCGCAAACACGATCTCGCCCCGTGGTACTGAAGCAAACCTGTTACGCAGTTTTTCTCGAACATTGTTGAGCAGACGTGTTGCTGAGGATCACTGTATATTTATTTAGGTTTTCATTAAAGAAACGATCGCTTGAAATTTTTTATGTGGAGCAGATGCTGCTGGAAGTAATCAATAATTTTCTTTGTATTTATTTAAAAAAGAGAAAAACAACCGTGAACAGCCACCCTTAGAGGTAGATGATTTTCTTCAAAAACCACTTTATTAGTATGCAAGAGAAAACTAAAAGATATATAATCTCAGTACAGAGTACTAAAAAAACCGACCTAAAAGTACGTGGAATTACATCTATTTGCCAAATTTTATTGAAATCGGTTACCTGAAAGCGCGCAAACCCGGATTCATCCCCTAGTTCGTCTCTTACGGAACTTGACACAGGAGATCGTAAAAATCGGTTCTCACTACTCAAAGTATATTGAGAGAAAAACGCCTTGAATTGGAAAATAGCAAAATAAACCATTAAAATAATTGCTCCTTATAATAAAATTTAGGCGCTATTTATAAAAATGAATCTTCATGCGTGAACAGCCACCCTTAGAAGTGGATGATTTTCTTTAAAATTAAATGGAACCACTATGGAGGTACCCTCTTTCCAACAAAAATGCATCATCAAAATCGGTTCACAAATGGCGAAGTTATCACGTAACATACTTACAAAAAAAAACATACAGTCGAATTGAGAACCTCCTCCTTTTTTTGAAGTTGGTTAACAATAATACTAGGTATTGAATTACCTTTCTCACTCATCCTTTACCGACATCCATCATACATTCCGTTATTAATTTCAGAAAGTGCAATTGTTACGATTTATGTTGAAAGAAGTTTACATAATATTATTATCAATGGCAAAACTGTATTAGAAACGTCAACCAAGTACTACCCGTCTGTGGGTGTCACATTTAATCTAGATAAGTATTCATTTGTGAACAATGTCCGTTAATATCATAAAAGGTTTGCGAGAGCGGCCCACTGGATTTCCGCGACCAATCAGAACCAGACGGCCGTGAACTGAAGGGCTCGATATAAAGGAAAAACTTCAAACAAATATATTTCTTCCTATGCCGCGTGAAAAAAGAGTCTCAACTCCATGGATTTTGTAAAATAGGCCAGACATAAAAGCTTTTTCTAATCGTAAGGGTACTTTGTTCAAGTTAAGATTGTCCTCTTGTTTAGTTGATTGAAGAACCGAGTTATTCCGAAACGCTAATAAGAAATATAATATTAAACTTTATCAGGTTTGGATTTGATTTCAGCCGTCCGCTTAAATATCAGATGAAAATTTAACTACAATAACACTTGTATTATTACGCACGTGTGAACAAAATATTTCATTATTAGAAAGAACATCTTACTACACAGCACTTTTTTACACACCATGAATTTACTTTTTTATTGATAATTTATTGTGGTACAAAACCCCTTCTCAATAATTTCTATAAAGTTGTCGTCCTAAAAATATTACAGAAAAATTTAATTACATAGTTACATAAGCTTTGCCATTGCATGGTAACTGACAATGTCTTTAAAAGGCAACGAGCCACGTTGAATAACTTTACTTAAAAGGATTAAAAAGAACCACTAAAAATGTCTCGTTTATAGGGATGCGTACTCTAAACACAACACAGAGTAATAGCCTCTACTATAATTATTACGCACCGCCCACCGCTTGCCTTGTATACAGGCACTAAACAAAAAAAAAGGGTTTTAAAGCTCCTTTGAGGTACTTACGTATGTACTGTGAGCGTAAATGGAAACTCTTCGACTTTATTGCGTCAACTTACACTTTTATACCGAGGTACTTCGGATCCTTACCTTTCTTTATAATCTTAAAGTATAGGAAACATTCTCAGACAACTGCATTGTTAAAAAATTTAATTCACAAAGGGAATGTAGAATATAATGATTGATGAGCTCTTCATAACCAGACCTGCGCGGTTGGTTAAGGAAATCAAAAGTGACACGCATAGCTTAGAAGCTATTAGAATGCAAGTCGATATGTATGTTTTGAAAATTGCTGACATTCTTTGTTTTCTTTCTTTTATACTTCTTATCTAAATCATATTTTTAATTTCAAAACTGTCGTAGGGGAGGAACGTTGCAGGGACGTGCAGACGCGATCTTTTAAGCGTTTGCAAGCCACTTGTCACTCGTCAACCACCATCAAATGGCTCCAGCAATATAGTTCTCGCCACAAAGACTTCAAATAGATAGGTAGATACCGTTGCCTCGCCATAAATAATTCAGTGTAAATCCTATTATTCCGGGTAAATCCTATTAGCTGTTTGTATAATAAATGTGTGATAAAAGAAATACAACAGTGAATTTAACATTACAAAATATTCCTACATAGGCAAACCATCGAGGTGTTCGCATGTAAAATGTGTGCATGGTCCAGTGGTCGGTCTAAACACATAGAGCAAAGTGTCAGATTCTGGTTACAGATATTTGTGGTTATTTAGTTACCGGCCACATCGCACAAATGAACTGAACTTTACGTGTCCCATGTTAGGTAGAAATAGTTTAGCTCACAGACTAGTTCGCATCTAGGTATGGCACTTAATATCATAAAAAAATGTACTTATTAATACCTACTATTACATAATGTGTATGTATTACGTACAACGATAGAGACAGAACTACTGAATGACATGTCCATTGAAAATTTAATTTTTTATTATTTTACAGCATTATTAATACACAAAGAGCAAGATACGAAGATACGATCATATTATTATTCACATGAGTTCTTTCACTAACTCACGTGGACTAAAATTTTTAGTTTGGACACTTTTTGTTGCATATAATTTGAAAGATAATCATAATCAACCCACGCAATTGGATGTAACATGTAGATTTTTTAACAGTTTTTATGACATTATTTTGGTTTACTGTCAAGGCCTTCACACCAAATTGTAAGTCTATGTATGCGTAAAAGAGCGAATAAAGTGACCATCCATACGTACGTATAATAGACACGACGAACCTATAAAGGCTCCTGGTTTGATAATTCACTAGTGATCCTTATTTCGCCTGTACAGCGCCTGCGTATCACGTAGCAATGCTGGTAGTTGTGTACTGTTTCGTTTACTAGCTCCCAAAGATTACTGTGGATTTTAGAGCAGTGGTCGTGCGGCACTCGCCGTAGCAATGGCTCAGTATCTATACAACCACCTCTATTCCTATGCGACTAAAAGCTGTATTGCCGTATTATTTGGCTAGGTGCCAATATGCACTGGAGTGGCGATAACTAGATTAAAAACGAATAGAGAAACATTTTAATGAGGGTGGTATTTACTATTAGTTGAACCCAGCATGCGTACCAATACTACAAAAACAAATAAAAATCTTTTTTGGAAGAGCATCTGTAAAAGATGGCGTGGGAGCAACAATAATATTAAAAAAAAAATAATGCTTACGCACATAGGATAATATACAAACAGGATATTCATTTATAGAAGACATGCATACACGAACTTGCGAAATTTCAAGTGCAACCTTTAACGCGTAAAAGTATCGCAAAATTTGACATAGACATGCACAACTGATTCGGAACAATTTGCTCCGTAGCCATAATATCTAATAAAGATACAATTTAACAGACGTGTATATGAATATGAATTTGAACATCGAGAGAAACTTCTGAGGTGTCGGCTTTAACTAAATTGCCAAAGTCGCCTCGAACTGCATGTTAAAGTACTGGCGGATGCTAATTATGGCGTCGCCACTGGAATGCTTTGTAATTCAAAAACTACGTCAAAGTTTACAACTCTCGCTGAATCCGAACCGCACTCTAATTAGATTTCAATTGTAATCATCAAAGTTTTCGAAACTGTAACATTTTAGGTGTTAAAATTATTCCAAATACTCGTTGCTATTTTAGACCAAACGTCTAAAGTTTGAATAAAAGCATTTGGACTGCAGGATGCCACATTATGAAAAATAAAAAACTAATAAAAAAAAAAATTAAAAAAATACTAATAAAAATTGCCTATTTTACAATTCTGAGTTCGAAGCTCCTCTTATGTAAATATACACTTGTGCTAGGAGTCCCGCTTTTCCACATTACAAATACAGGAATATCTAATGATTTAAGATTAGGTGATTATAGTAAATGTGTGTTCGTATGTGCTTGTATATGTGTGTTTGTGTGTGTGTAATAATGAATTATGTTTTGAAGAACAAACCATTCCACGGATTACCCAGATACATTAAAAAATTATTCAGTTTCGTCACGGAAGAAAAAAAGAAATTAAATGGCATCAAGCAACATTTGATTTCGAAGCTACCTCTGTGGACGTCGGCAGTGTGTACGCAATGAGAATTCTTTCTCTACGTGGTGCGATATTTCCGCCGGAGTCCCGCAGGGTGGCGTCCTTTCTCCTCTCTTATTTTCTTTGTTTATTAACTCTATCACACAATCCCTCACTTCTTCTTATCATCTTTATGCTGATGACCTCCAGATTTACACCCAGTCGTCTATTCAAGACTTACCAAGTGCCATTAACGCTACCAATGTAGACCTTGAATCCATTCGTCAATGGAGTCAGTCCTTTGGCCTTAAAGTTAACCCATCCAAAACACAATCGATTATTATAGGTAGCACTTGGTTCAATTCTCGTTTAAATCTAGACTCCTTACCCCCTGTGGTTTTCGATGGTGTCCGTATTCCTTATTTGGATACAGTCAGAAATTTGGGGGTAATTTTTGATAAATGTCTGACTTGGAAGCCGCAAGTTGCTGGGGTTAGCAGGAAGGTGTTTGGTGCGCATTTCTCTCTGACAAGGCTTAAAAACTTTTTGCCGACTAAAACCAAAATTACTCTGGCCCAGAGCATTCTCCACCCGATACTGGACTATGCAGATGTTTGCTACCCAGATTTGTCAGTAACTCTGCTCAATAAATTGGAACGGCTCCAAAATATGTGTGTTAGGTTCATCTTCGGACTACGTAAATTTGACCATGTCTCCCAATTTCGCGCACAAATTAAATGGCTGCCCATCCATCGGCGTAGAGATCTTCATATCCTTTCACTTCTCTATTCAATTCTGTTCTATCCCCTTACGCCTTCTTATCTTAAAGATCGCTTTACTTTCCACTCTTCTACACTCTGTCGTCCCCTTCGCTCCTCTGATACTCTCTTACTTAACTTGCCCTCTCATACCTCTAACTTTTATACCAACTTCTCTTGATTCCTTCAAACTACGTGTCAAGGATCACTTCCTCAACTCCTAAATTTCGTCTGTACTCTACTATCCTTTCATTTATTTCCTGCATTTATACTTCATTTTTCTTTTTCCTTTAAAAGTATATAAGCATTTAATATTATTATGTATTTATTGTTATGTACGTATTAATAATATTATTGTTATTTGTATGTATATGTATATCTATCTATGGATATGTATATATATATTTTTTTTATTATTATTATTATTATTACTTATTATGTAGTATACTTATGATGATATTCTTTGGTTGCACCTCTTTTGCATATCCGAAATGTCTATCCTAAGGTTGCCTGGAAGAAATTGCTACATAGCAATAAGGCCGCCTGTTGCACATTGAATTACCACTACTGTTATACTTAAGCTATTGTACTGGATTTTAATTGTAATTTTTATGTGCAATAAAGAATATTTCATTCATTCATTCATTCATTCATTCATTCATTCATTCATTCATTCATCCATTCATTCATTCATTCAACATTTGTATCAAAACCGGTGTCGCCACACGCACACATATTTGTAAACGTAATCTTACATTAGTACTGAGATAACATAATTTTGATTGGTTATAAATTATCAAACAAAAATAGACAATAATAAAAAAACTTTTGGTAAAAAAAACTGAAACTTCTTTGGATCTAATAAGGTTTTATTATTACTAGTCCATAAAAGCTAAGAATCCTATGAACAGAAACTTCTTGGAACAAAAGCAAAAAGTTGACAATCTACAGATAGGGATGTGACATTTAATTGATATCGGCATTATGTTTCATAACTAGCGGAATATTGAACTAGGCATTGCTTTACACTTGCTATAATTAGGATATCGAGTATATAGCCAGAAATAGAGATGAAATGTCATTTAATTTGTTTGAAAACTATTCTGCCATGTCATTACTATGACAACTGCGCTCCGATTGGCTCCGATTGGAGTCGTCAACTGTTTCACTTCAAATCGACCAGTTAACTTGAGCTTTGCTATAATGGACGAAAATTGCAAAATTACATATTTAATATTTAATTACCCATTAAATGTGATTCCGTTTGTTTTGTAATTAGATGTTTTGCTGTTTTTCCCTCACCACCGAATACAACAGCACGGCATTGTTAGAGATATTATCTTTATTACAATAAATACAGAATATTTTTTGGAATATATGTAGACGTACACGCAGGTCAGTAGTTGGCCTGTCTATATTTCAGTGCAAACGAGGGTTGATATTTATAAGAGCTGTATCGCTAATGTGTTACCAGGAATATATGGCCCTTATTTCGTCTCTATTTCTGGTTACATACTCGATGATTAGGGTTAACCACAGAGTATATGGAAACGGCATTTAAAGCAATTTCTTCGAGAAATAGCGTAGGTTTTACTACACGCAAATTTTAATTGATATAACCTACGCAGGCGTGTGCGCGCCTATACGTAGCTACATGCTACAATCATAGTATTAATGATTTATTATATTGTCATAGTACTTTCATTAACCTACTAGATTTCAAGTCAATCCGATCACTGGAAGGGGTGAAATATTAAAACACAGTCATCATAAAAATCTTTATTCTATCTGAAATATGATATAGTTGGTCAACAATTACCTCTTTCTGAACTGACTGAATATTACTACACCTATAGCGTCGACGAGCTTGTTAAGAAAATGAAGATACTTATTTCCGAAGGCGAAGAAGCGAATTTTTTTCCTGTTTGTTTCCTGAAAACTTGACGAAAAATAACTGACTATGTTTCAGAAATGTTTTCACATTTAGATGTGGTCTATAATTTGCGAATGCGACTCTGAGTTTCATGTCATATATTACCTGATTAACCAAATGATTTATTTCTTAATGAATTTTTCGGTTGTTATTCATATGTACATAATTTAATGTGATGTCATGAAATGCCTATAGCAATTGGTGCTACATTTAGTAGGTACCCAGCTTTTACTGCCTGTTGCTGTCCCATTTCTCCTTAAAAAAGGAACCCGCGGGATTTTATAATAACCTATGGAGCTTACCGACTACGTGCGAAATATGTAATTTATAAAAGTTACTAAACCTGTAAAGCTCTGATGTGGGAAATTTATTCGGTTTCAAGTACATCACTTTCAACCTTGAAGAACTTGAGAGGGTATAAAGAATACCATCTCAAGTTCTTCAAGGTTTTTGAATTACTGCCCCATACTGGAATACAGTACACCAAAACAGATTGCACAAGGACTATGTATGTTTTATTTAACAGTTTCTTTGTAGCTATATATTGTAAGGTTTTAAAAATCCAATTTAGCTTCCTAACTCTACTAGAAATCAAGTCTCGATAGTCTCCCTTCGACAATAAGACCAAGATATTTCAAGACTAAGACAGTTTTGTGTACCACGTCTATCATAGTTATGAATCTTAATTTTAAAGCTCCTATCTGGTTGTGATGAGTTTCTAAAGGGAAAAGCATATACAATTGGTTTTAGCAGTATTTACAGTTAAAAGGTTATGTCAACCCATTTAGCAATCCTAGCCAATTCGATTTCAGTATGTGTATGCACTTGTCGCCATGTATCATCTGAGAATACTATCGCTATATCACCCACATAAATAAAAATTTTACCTGCAGCCACATCCAGGTTACACAAGTTATTTACGTAGATAACGAAGAGCGAAGGGCCAACAACACTTCCCTGTGGAACACCAAAATGTATACTTACATCATTACCAAAGATTTTATCGAGTTTTACACGCTGTATCTTTTCTTTCAGGTAACTTTGAAAGAGGAAATAAGCAGTGCCTCTAATTCGAATGTCTTCCAGTTTATTAAGAAGGATGGGGACAAAGACGGTGTCAAAAGCTTTTTCCATTATAAAGCTGCCTTGTGAAGTGCCAAATTGCCTACTTATTTAGATTTCTGTGGTGCCACACATGCTTGAGTGTAGAGATGGAAAAAATTGCTTATTAATTTTGAAACGTCTAAAACGTTGTACTTTTATAAGAAAGCGCGCTTATTTTCACTTAAATACCTTTTTAGTTTGAAATTAACAAAATCGTTCAGAAAAACGTTAAAGCCCATACTTTTTACTTACATTACCAAAGCGTCATGTTAAAAATTTCTTAGCATCATTTTGTTGACAGCGTAAAGCGAGAATAGACCACTAAAGGTATTAAGATAAGTATAACATAATATAAGTAAGTTTATTTGTAAAACAAGAGTTTCATTTTTATTTATAACAATATTTTATACATTGACAAATTAACTTGTTTACGTCGTAGATGACGAGACTTGATAACTAGGCACGTTGTAAAAAATTAAATTGTTGAGTATTGAACGGAGCAACGCTGAGAACTTAAAATTGTGTAACTTAAGAAGCGTGCTTGTGTGCTTATATTGAAAAGCAAAAATGTTTTAAGTGCTTTTCGTTTAAATCCCCACCTCCACTTGAGTGGCACTAATATTATATAGAAAATAAAATTTTGCAGAAATTCAAATCACACATAATATTTAAAATAAAAGTTTGTATTTTTAAATATTTGTAACATTGGGTTTGTTTCACAGAAAGAAGACGATAGAATATATATAGTTCGCATTAAAAATAAAGATTAAGTTAGACAGCCACGACGTATTGAAAAATGACAAAGTTCACTTAATACGTGGGGCGCACTATAAGTTTCCTGAATGAATAAGAAAAAATACTATAAATGGTCAGAAATGAATTTATTGTTTCTCAAAATATTCTCCGTTACCGTTAATGCACTTTTTCATACGAATGAAACAATTTTGAAAACATTTATGCCATTCCTCCGTGACAACCTCTGAAACATATTTTTCATACTCTTCGACAGCCTCTTGACCGCGTAACTAGTTCTCAATTTATGGAAATAAATAAAAGTCAAAAGGTGCCAGGTCGGGACTGTACGCGGGATGACTCTTAAGATCAACGTTGTTCACCTTCAAGAAGTCATTTGTCTGTCTGTCCGTGTGAGAACTGGCATTATCGTGGTGCAAGATGATACGGCGTTTACGGTTATTTTTACTTAGTTTGTGAATGATTTCCGGCAAACAAATGGTCGTGTACCAATCACTATTCACGGTACAACGATTCTTCAAAGCCTCAGTAGCCACGTGTCCAACGTGTCCAGTATTATTGAAAAAAGAAGCAATCATCCGCTTAGAGGCACTTTGCACGCGCGCCACTTTTGTTGGTTTCGGCACATCTCGACAGACCCATACGCCCGATTGCTGCTTTGTTTTGGGATCGTAACTATAAATCCATGTTTCGTCACCTGTTACTATGTCCGACACCAAATTTGACGCCCCTTTGTTGAATCTGGTAAGTATGGCATTGCACCAAGTGACGCGATCCGTTTTTTGAGCCCCTGACAAATTGTGTGGGAGAGCACAGAGCACCGAGAGCACAAATTTTTTACACCCAAATGTTTGTGTAGTATTGATTGTATTTGACTCATGCCTATGCTTAAAGATGCCTGAATCTTATGGTATGTCACATGCCTGTCTGTTTTGATCATACGGCGCAAGTGGGCGGGCCACCATCACAAAATTCGTCACTGAGATTCACATGACCGCGTTTGAATTTTACAAACCAGCTATAAATAGTCGTCTTGCATGGTGCTTCATCGCCAAAAGCAGTTTGAAGCCGAGCGAAGCTCCGCTGAGGTGTTTAATTACACTTAAAGTCATAGAAAATCATACGACCAATCTCTAAAATGACGCAACAGTGTAAAAACAAGTGACAGCCAGATGAAACAAATTGTATTCTACAGCCAAAAAGTTTCATTTTCAAATGTATATTTGAAAATATATATATTATAAATATATATAAATATAATGTAATAATTACTTTTTAAATATTGTTTATGTAAGTGGCCAGTTCCGGAAACTAATAGCGCTTTATGTAATTAAGTTATTTATGCGCTTTATATAATTAAGCATAATAATTAAGATTACATTAAGCATTGGTGTATAATGTCGATTGTAGTTATTGTTAGTACAATTAACATTAACACGGTTAAATTGATTGATTTTAATAAATATACGGATAAAGTACAATAAAAGCTTAAATACTAGAAATTAAAACCAGGATTAAATTACATGAATAAAATTGAGTCCCCGCGGCAAAGTGCCCAAGACGCTGGCAGCGTGCCCCCTTTGTATGGCTATGCTAATGCGTTGGGCAAGGTAGCTGCGGGCTCTTGGGTTTCTCAGATAGTCAGTAAGTAATTAATTTTTTGGATAAAATTTTGTTCAGATGAAGGGCACCGGGACTCCACTTTCGGGTTTCAACTCTAAAGGCTGTGAACAGTTGGTCGGAGCTGAGGTCGTGGTACTTATTACTTTTTATTCTTTCTGCTTGCTCGGCTACGGAGCCAGCCCTACTGCTGGTGAGCTGGAGATGGGATTAAAATTGAAATTACAGGCACGTGGGTTTGTCAACGTATGTCTCAGGGTGGCGGGCGCAGTGGCAGTGCCCCTCAGATCTTTGCGATTCGCAGCTCTAGAGTGGCACTGCAACTGTTATGGACAGGCGTGTAGCTTACCACCAGGCGCACGACTTGTTCGTTCCGTCACTTGATATTATAAAATAATAATAATAAAATATAAAAACTCTCAAAGGATGAGAATCATTCCGTTAATTTTTTAAATAACGCTTAAGTATGTATTATGCACTTTTAAGAACGATTGCACAGATTAATTAATTATTATTAATGATTGTTATAAAGTGTAACCATTGACCTACCGCAACACTATTCTTTTGTCTGTAAGCTAATATTGAGAAAAAAAGGTTTTATCACAATTAAAAGCAGACTAGCATAGCACTCAATAAAATAACGTCGCACTTAAGTCTTAAAATGGTCAGACAATTGTTATACAAATGAAGAAAGAATTTCTCATTGTCTCGTATCTACAACAACAATTGTACACAAGCGGATATTATATATGCTATACACAGTTGTACATTGCCGTTTCAACACTAACCTACCAACAAGCGCTTTATCACACGAAAACACGTTTATGCTAGCCCCAAATTTTACTCGCCGTCTGTGAATCTAATCCGTTAGAATTGTTGTTGACCACGGACATTTCTTGGTTAGATATGGAAGGGAGTGATTCTGGATTGAGAATGAATGAATAAGAATAATAAAAAGTATTGTGTTCGACGAGACACGTCAAATACCTTCTTTACGTTTACAATTAAGGTATTTTGATCTGGAGATGGTAACAATTACGCATAAAATATTTAAAAGAAACGAAATTAACAGGAAAGTAATATTGGTTGAGAGTAAAAAAGTCTGATGTAATGCAAAATTGCGCTTAGTGGTGAAAATATTGAGCAAGTAATACTCTTGGTAGTCTCTTAACAAAGGTGGCTACATGTGGAATGGTGAAAAGGAATCCCTTTCATTCACTCGAATGAATGAGTGTGAAAGAACCTTGGTTGGTCGTTGTAAGGGATTTTAAACGTGAAATGTAGAATAGAGAGTGAAATGAACAAATGAAACATTCTTGATACTCTACTAGCAAAAGACGGCAAGTGTGAAATTGTGAAAAAAGAGTGAAATTAATAAATGAATAATCTGTTATAATTATTAATACAAAGATCGAACCACTCAGAAAAAAATCCTTCTTTTTTTGAGTGTTTTTTCTGAGTGTTCGATCTTTGTATTAATAATTATAACAAACTAGTGGAGTAATTTCACAAAAAATAATTGAATATCAATTCAATAAAAATTTAATTAATACAGTGAATAGCAACATCTCTCGCCAGGACTGGTAGCTGTAAAGGTACTAACTGGGTGATAAATCTGTTATAGATTTCTCATAGATGGCGCTACGACTAAAAAGTCGTTGAAAGACCAAGTACAAAGACACGACGCAATCACATAGAAAAATTCGTGAGGTCCGTTGGTTCGTTCCGTGGCTCAGTTGGTATAGCGTCTGTCACGGTATGCAAGAAGACGTCGGTTCGAATCCGACCGGATCGAAGGAATTTTTTCTGAGTGTTTTTTCTGAGTGTTCGATCTTTGTATTAATAATTATAACAAACTAGTGGAGTAATTTCACAAAAAATAATTGAATAACAATTCAATAAAAATTTAATTAAATGAATAATCTTATAATTAAAGTTAGTCTAGTTAGTCTAGTATAAGTAAAGTTGTCATGTAGCAGTAGAGCTCCTTGTGAAAGATCTCGTCCAGGGAACTACTGTCACCTTACTTATTTCGGCCGCGAAGCAGTAATGTGAGCAAGGGACTTGTCAATTTATGTCTCAGGGTGACGGGTGCATTGCTCAGATCTTTGCGATTTAAAGCTCAGAGTAGCACTGCAAATGCTATGAACAAGCGTCTCGCTTACCACTAGGCGCACGACTTATTCGTTCTGTCAATTTTCAAGAAATTTATTTATTTATTTCCAACTTACAACTATCATTTCAGGTTGCACCTAATGCGATAGTGTATACAACAAGTCTTACTTAGAGCCTTTAATTATAAATAATAGCGAGCTTAATAACTACTTACTTAATTGTTATTATTACGATAACACAAAACTCACAAAGTCGCTTTTACGAATTCGTTCAATAAGCAAGAAGGGCTAGCACGACTGGGCGCGACTAACGCGAGAGCGACATAAAGCGCGAGATCTCTATGAGAATAGCAGTATCTCACCCGTTATGTCGCTCTCGTCTGCGTCCTGCCGTGTTAGCCCTACAGGTAACCTTTTTAAAAAAATGTGAGTCTAAACCGCAAATTAGCGAAAGAAGTTTTCCACGCCTTTATAACCTTTGTGTGCAGCTTAGACTATTCCATCCTCTAAAATGTGCAGTGAAAATGTGTCAAGAAAGACACGTCTTGCTGTTTAATCGGTCTTGCATGTCGATTGTATC